CGTCCGCGTGCAAAGTTGATTTTCCCTTTGTCACTGAGTAATTCCCTCAGGTATCCCTGGTTCAGCATCCTGACCACCTCTTGCCGTAGGCCTATGCAGTCTTCAGTTTTGTGCCCCCGTTCCTGATGGAACTCACATAGGACGTTTGATTTCCTTGTGGCGGGGTCTGATTTCATCTTCTGCGGCCACTGCACTTTGGTGCCCAGCTTCTCCAGTGCGTACACTATTTCTGAAGGAGACACACAAAAGTTATGGGCGGATAATAAAGGAGGCGTACCTCTTTCGTTTCGGAGTGGGGCGACGTGTCGCTGTAGTGCGTCTGTATGACTTGGTGGCGGATGGGAGGATCTGGTGTATGGCTGATGTCGATCTCTGTTGAAGCAGGGGAGTTGTTCTCGTCGTCCTTCGTTCCGTCGATCTCTCCTCGTTTCTGAGTGTATCGCTGTTAGCCGTTGGGTCGGCCCATTAAGATCATCCTCGTCCGCTCGTACCTCAGCGCAATAGGCGTTGTGGATTTCCTCCCATGTGGTAGGGGGATATTTCATGAGGCGGCTCAACAACTTCTTGGTTGCCCTTGAACCATCCCTGCTTAGCCCGTTCTGGAAAGTGACGACTGCCATACCTTCCGATACGTTTGGTAGACTCATCCTTACCCTGTTAAACCTTGCTAGGAAGTCCCTGAGTTCCTCTCCTGTAGTTTGCCTGATGGCGAAGATGTCGTTGACCCTGGCCTCCGCTTTCTTCGCGCCTGCATGGGCTGTGACGAACTTATCCGACATTTCCTCGAACGTTGATATTGCCTTAGCCGGTAGCTGAGAGTACCATGTTAAAGCCCCTCCTGTCAACATCTCGCCAAACTTCTTCAGCAGTACCGACGGTACCTGTTCTTTTGATAGGTCGTTGCCCTTCACAGCGGTGACGTAGTGGATCAGATGATCCTCGGGATCAGTGGTTCCGTCATATACCCTCAAGTAGGGTGGCATCTTGAAGGTTTTTGGGGTGGAGTGAGGGGCAGCTTCTCAGTGTATGGTTGTTCAACGAACCTTCCCACTTCGCGTTTTGATAGCAACTTGGGAGCACCGGGGATCTTGTCGACCCTGTCCTGATGTTCCTTCATCTGATCGCGGAGCGCCTTGTTTTCATTTTCCATTTCTTCCATCTTCTTTAGGATGGCTGTTAGCTTGCCATCGTTGGTCTGTGTCTCGACGGGTTCGTTATTTGCTAGTGCAACTTCCGGTTCGCCCACGACAGCAGTGGTATCTACCGTTGGTGTACACCTGATGTTACTTTATGGTGACCTCTCAACCAAGCCACTCAGAGTGCTTGTTAGCCATCTTTCCAGTAGCTTCTTGACCGCTGAGGGTGCTTCCGTAGCCGCAGATGTGGAAGCTCCTTTTTCGTGCAAGATCGTCAGATCTTCGGATGGGGAAGGTGAGATCTCCGCACCCGATGTGATGCTAGGGGTTGCATTCAGGATGCCATCGTCACTGGCCTCGTTGAGAGGGCCAAGGAGATTGGTAGTGACACCCAATATAGCTTTCGATCTTGTGTTATTCTCAACCATCTTTTGTGTTTGTGTGGTGGAGAGAATGGTAGTTGGTTGTTCTCTAGGTGGATACTATGATTTTGATTCTCGAAATCCCCACAGACGGCGCCAAATTGTTTGGCTCAAAAGTTAACAATGTACGTTGTAAGCTAGAAAACAATCGAAAGTAAGGGAAGGGTAAATCGTAATCAAATATAGTAGACCCAGAGATGTAAAAATGATGTTATTGTTGTAGATCTAGTATTATAAAGTGATAATCTGAACTCAAGAGAATATGTTCGTTTGAGACAGAGATAGAGAGAGAGAGTCAGATAATGAGAGAGTTGTATTATTCCAGAATTCCCCTGTTTACAATGTGAAGGTCTCCCTTATATAATAAGAGACCTTCCTCGAAATAACCAAAAAGTTACAAAAATAGGTAACGTCTCCCTAGTGAAGACACTGAGTCCTAAACGATGTCGCTTTTGTCCGCACGTCCGAGTCGTACCCACTACGCTAGTCGGCGTATACTCACTGGGCGTACCCACTGGCGTAGAAACACTGACGGTCAAATTTGACCCTATACAGATTGCATAATATGTATGAAAATAGCCAAAAATTAATTAAAGTGGATCAAAAAGAATATCTAATTTTGAGTAGCGGATAAAAGTTATTCTTGCTGTGTTTTTTAGGTATACTCGCAAATTCTTTCATGAGTTTGCTCTCAAACCAGCATTTCTAAGAATAATATATGCTCGAAAGACTAAGGCCAAAGAACACAACTTATTGTGAGGCAATGTAGATAGGAAACCTCTTGGTTACAAGAAAGGGAAGTTACACATTTGCCGATCAGCCAAAAACAATTATATTTATTAGTCAAATATATAAAAAAAATATGTATAAATTATGTACATATATGGATATTACAAAAAATATATATCTTTGACGGTATTTATTTAAAAGTGGCTATACTGTATAATTATTTCCTTAATTTAATTATTCCATTGGATACCTGCTATCTCTCACTAGAATAGGTGTTAAATTACTTCACCTCATAAAATTAATGTTTGAAGATCTTGCATCTAAAAATCCGCTTCAGGTGGATTCTTTCCCAAATTAACAAAGAGATCTTGGCGGAATTGTCACATATGAAACCGATTCTCCATTATCAGAAAAGCTATGGCCCATGCACCTGAGCACGTCCCAGTCTCACATAAGTCACCATGCAAAGAGATTCTATACAAAGAGCCTGGTTTTTAAAAGAGACAAAAACAGAAGATCTCCCAGCAACTTCTAGTTTGTCAAATATAGTCAGACTTCTCTATAATAGCATCAATATATAACAATCATTCACTATAAAAGTCAAGTTTCTTTTGGAACCAATTTCCATACTATGTTATAATATATGTTCGCTATAACAACACTAAAATATAACAACAACAAAAATCTGAAATAAACGAGGCTGTTATAGAGATGTTTGAATGTACTTACCAGGAGAAATATCATTATTAACTTTTTAAGTCAAAAAAAGGGGAAGAAAGGTTTCATGTCAAGGAACTCAATTAATGAGCCAATACATTTCCAATGAGAATCATTGATACTATTTAAGAAATGGAAGGAGAGATTATTAGAAAGGAGAACTGACATATTATCAGCTCTCCAGTAATTCCAGTGCACTAAATTGAATAAATAACATTTTCATGTCAATTCAAATAGAAAGAGAGGTGAAACAAAAACCACCAAAAAGAAGAAAGGAGAAAACTGTGGCTTTGATTTTCAGACTAAATAAATAAGTTATTGAGGAGCTAAACTATTCTCCTGCTTGTCGATAGCACAACCTTGAGGAAGAACTGTCCCGCCAATTCTTGTTGGAGGCCAATACCGAAATATTGATCTGCCTATTATGTTCTTTGCAGGAAGTGGTCCCCTGTTTTAAGTAAAATTGATACATAAGATGAGCATGTTTAATTGAATCTAAGCAGTTTACAAGATGGGTCAGCTTTTATAAAGAGCGGACAACTCACCACACATGCGAATCATAGCTGTTATTCCGATTATCACCCATCACAAAAACTGAATTCTCAGGTACACGCTGCAGTATGACATGAATAGGAAACAGTAAGAACAGTAGGCATTTGTCTCACACTAAATGGAAATTAAACAACACACTTTGGCCACAACTATGCGGTTTTAGGCTTTTAACATTAGCCAAATCTCCTAAGGAGAAGAATGGGAGGGAAGTTGATTTGCTGAGTTAGGATTGGTAAAAATGGAACATACCACTGGTGTCATTTCGTATTTGGGTGCCTCGAGAAGAAAATCTTCATTTCTCACAACCCCATTTACAATCAGCTTTCCTTCATGAACCTGCAGTACCAAGAATAACCAAAATATTTCCTTTGAGATTGCTGCCAACTTGGCCTTATATTTGGTACTACACCTCCCCC